GGAGCATAGTCTATGATACAAATCAACACGATTATAATATAAGTAAAAAGTGCTAAGTTAGGTAAGTATAAGGCTTGAGAGGTTTTCATGAAACCCAAAACTAAAACCCTACATCGGAGTTAGATTGATAAAGAGGGATAAATAAAATATTTCAGACAAAATAAATATGCAAAAGATGAAGAAAGAAGGCGATATAATTGTCATGAAAGCCTTTCATAGTTGAGACTGACCAGATGCTGGAGTGCAATGGATTAGGAATAGTGAGAAGTGAGGCTGCAGTTGCATGTGGGGAGCTGGATTTTGTGTTATCTTTCAGAATCTGACTGTACTCTGAGGGCAAAGCTTAAGGACAAATAGTGTAGAAACAAGATCTGCAGATTTAAATTCAGGACCTAGTTCTGTGACCCTGGGAAACATTATTGAGATTTGTGTCTTCAAATAAAAAGTGAAGGTAGTAACACATTCCTGGTTCATCCTTCAGGATAATCCAAATGTAGGATATTATTAGCCAGGCAAGTTTAGGGAGGATAAATCTTCATAAGAACAAAAGATTTGTTCATTAGCTGGATTTAGAAAGGTACCACCCACTTTCCTGAATGCTAATGATAGCTTAATAGTTGGTCTTTAAGACTTTAGTGATGGCTGGGCTCGGTGGCTCAGCCTGTAATCCCGCGCCTTTGGGAGGCTGAGGTGAGTGGATTGCCTGAGCCCGCGGGTTCGAGACCCGCCTGGGCAGCGAGACCTCATCTCTACTATAAATCAAAAATCAGCTGGGTGTGGTAGCGCATGCCTGTAATTCCGACTACTTGGAAGGCTGAGGCGGAAGGATCGCCGGAGCCCAGCAGGTCGAGGCTGCGGTGGCCGGGAGTGGCCACTGTACTCCAGTCTGGGCGACAGAGTGAGACTCCAACTCAAAAAAAAAAAAAAAAAAGGGCAACCCTCTCCGGGCCCTCTTACTATGGGAGTTTTTCTGTCTTCTCAATAAATCCTACTTTCTCACCTTCAAAAAAAAAAAGATGCATCTCTTGCTGATTGTGGTACTTAGATGTAACAGGTATTTGAGCAGTATTTGTTGAGGGGAAGGTACTAGCAGAAATTATTTGAAGCATATCAATACATATTAACTAATTGGATCTTTGTGACAACTTCATACAATAGGGGAGACTGCTATTCCATTTTATAGCTTAGGAAACCGAGCCCCAGCCCATTATAGCCACTAACCTGTACTGACCTTCAAGGAATAGTAAATACCTACTGTGTGTTGGGCAGCAAAATACAAAACAGATAAAGCCTCTGTCATCTTACACCAGTTTCAGCCTTATGGGGACAATAAGCTCACAGATAACACATAATTATGCCATGAGCAACTGGAAAGGGCAGTTTGAAGTGAAGGTACAGCATTGGTTGGTGAGAGGAATAGAATAGGGAGTCTGATGGCCAGGCTTGGTGGCTCAGCCTATAATTCCAACACTTTGGGAGGCTGAGGCGAGTGGATTGAGCCCATGGGTTCGAGACCCACCTGGGCAACTTGGCGAGACCTTGTCTCTACAATAAATAAAAAAAATAACTGAGCGTGGTAGCGTGCACCTATAGTTTCAGCTACTTCGAAGGCTGAGGCGGAAGGATTGCCAGAGCCCAGAATGTTGAAGCTGGGGTGACCGTGAGTTGTGCCACTGCACTCCAGCCTGGGCAACAGAGTGAGACTACAACTCAAAAAAAAAAATAGAGAGTCTGATATAGTCGTTAAAAGAGGCAGACATCCACCAGGCATGGTGGCTCATACCTGTAATCCCAGCACTTTGGGAAGCAGAGGCAAGAGAATTGTCTGAGCCCTCGGGTTTGAGACCAGCCTGGGCAACTTGGCCAGACCTCATCTCTACAATAAATCAAAAAATTAGCCGGGCATGGTGGCGTGCACCTGTAGTTCCAGCTACTTGGAAGACTGAGGCAGAAGGATCGCCTGAGTCCAGCAGGTTAAGGCTGCAATGACTGTGAGCGTGCCACTGCACTCTAGCCTGGGCGACACAGTAGACTCCAATTCAAAAAATAAAGTAGGCAGCCACATTGAGGGGTCAAGGCCGGCCTGCCTCAAGTTCTGTTTTGGAATCCAATGGCCAGCAGTCTAGAACAGAGACTGGAATAAGTGTTAAAGGTAAGTGGCCTATATTCAAATTGTGCCTTTTATCAGCGTGGGACCCCAAGCAAGATACTTAGCTTCCCTGGGCCTCTGTTTCCTCATCTCTAAAATGGCATCATTTGGTTCTCACTGGGTTGCTGTGATGATTAAAAGTGTTCAGTGGTTGGCCGGACTCGGTGGCTCAGCCTGTAATCCCATGCTTTGGGAGGCTGAGGTGAGTGGATTGCCTGAACCCGCGGGTTTGAGACCCG